ATGTTTCTATCTCTCTAACCCTCTCACTTCCTCTCTGTAAAAAAATAAAAAAATATATTAAAAAATATTAAAAAATCAGACCCAGCAATATATTAAAAACATCATACACCATTAACAAGTGGAATTTATCCTAGGGATGCAAAGATGGTACAATATTTGCAAATAATAAATGTGATGCATCACATAAACAAAAGATAAAAATTACATGATCATATCAATGGACCCAGAAAAAGCGTTCGACAAAATCCAACACCCATTTTTTATTAAAACTTTTTTTAAAAATATATTTTATTGATTTTTTACAGAGAGGAAGAGAGAGGGATAGAGAGTTAGAAACATCGATGGGAGAGAATCATCGATCAGCTGCCCCTTGCACACCCCGCACTGGGGATGTGCACGCAACCAAGGTACATGCCTTAGACCGGAATCGAACCTGGGACCTTTTAGTCTGCAGGCTGACACTCTATCCACTGAGCCAAACCAGTTTCGGCTATTAAAACTCTTAGCAAAGTAGGAATAGAAAGATTATATCTCAACAGGATAAAGGCCATATATGACAAACTTACAGTGAACATCATACTCAATGGGCAAAAATGAAAACCATTTCACCCAAGAACAGGAACAAGACAAGGATGTCCACTTTCACCACTCTTATTCAACATAGCACTGGAAGCCCCAGCCACAGCGATCGGATAAGAAGAAATAAAGGCATCCAAACTGGAAAGGAAAAAGTAAAACTCTCATTATTCACAGATGAGTTGATACTGTACACAGAAAACCCTAAAAATTCCATCATAAAACTACTAGATCTAATAAATTAATTTGGCAATATAGCAGATACAAAATTAACACCCAGAAATTGATGGCATTTTTATACACCAATGATGAATTCTCACGAAGAAAAACTAAACAATCCCATTTACCATTGCAACTAAAAAAATTAAAGATACTTAGGAATAAACTTAACCAAGGAGGCATAAAACCTGTACTTGGAAAATAAAGGACTCTGAAAAAAGAGAAAGAGGAAGTTATAAACAAGTGGGAAAATATACCGTGTTCATGGATTGGTAGAATCAACATCATTAAAATGTCCATACTGCCCAAAGCAATTTATAGATTCAATGTAACCCCTATTAAAATACCAACAACATATTTCACAGGTTTAGAACAAATGCTCCAAAAATTTATATGGAACCAAAAAAGATCCCAAAATGCCACAGCAATCTTGAAAAAGAACAAAATTGGAGGGATCACAATACTAGACATCAAGCTATATAACAAAGCCACCATAATCACAACAGCCTGGTACTGGCACAAGAACAGGCATACAGATTAATGGAATGGAACAGAGACCCCAGAAATCAACCCAAGCCATTATGCTCAATTAATATTTGACATAAGAGGCAAGAGCATACAGTGGAGTTAAGACAGTCTCTTCAGCCCAGAAAAAAACCACCTAGAGTCCTTTAAAAACCTCTGATTCCCCTTCTTTGTGTGCTGGCGCCATTTTGGGGCTCAGCCCATCTGGGTTTCCAGATGACCTAATAAATTCATAATTCTCTATCTCTTCTGGCCTCAAGCATTCCTCTTTCAGCGACCCTAACACTGAACTTGTTATTTGTTACCGCCCTCTTTCCTAGGAGGTTCATCAGAATGAAAGAAAATACACAGGCATTTAAGGAGATACCCAGGGTCCTGATAATGTTGTTTTCTTATATGCGTGTCAGGGCATGGGGTGTACAGTTTATGAAAATTCAATTAAGCTTTGTATTTCTGTTCAATTTTCTGTATGTGTATCATATTGTAATAATGTTTTTAAAATATGGCTTTCCTGTATTACAAAGCCACTGTTCTCAAAACAGTCTGGTACTGGCACAAGAACAGACATACAGATCAGTGGAATAGAATCGAGAACCCAGATATCAACCCAAATCACTATGCTCAATTAATATTTGACAAAGGAGGCATGAACATACAATGAAGTCAAGACAGTCTCTTCAATAAATGGTGTTGGGAAAATTGGACAGATACATGCAAAAAAATGAAACTAGTTCACCAACTTACACCATACACAAAAATCAACTCAAAATGGATACAGGACTTAAACATAAGACGGGAAACCATAAAAATACTAGAGGCATCCACAGGCAGCAAAATCTCAGACATATGCCAAAAGAACTTCTTCACTGATACTGCCCCTAGGGCAATGGAAGCTAAAGAGAAAATAAACAAATGGGACTACATCAAAATAAAAAACCTTTTTTACAGCAAAAGAAACCATCAACAAAACAACAAGAAAGCCCACTGTATGGGAGAACATATTTGCAAATGTTATCACTGATAAAGATTTAATCTCCAACATCTACAGACAGCTTATACAACTAAATAAAAGGAAAACGAATGATCCAATTAAAAAATGGGCAATGGCCGGGACCGGTTTGGCTCAGTGGATAGAGCATCGGCCTGCAGACTGAAAGGGTTCGATTCCGGTCAAGAGTATGTACCTTGGTTGCGGGCGCATCCCCAGTAAGGGGTGTGCAAGAGGCAGCTGATCGATGATTCTTTCTCATAGATGTTTCTAACTCTCTATCCCTCTCTCTTCCTCTCTGTGAAAATTCAATAAAATATATTTAAAAATAAAATAAAATAAAAAATGGGCAATGGATCTAGATAAATAAAATATTTTCAAAAGAAGATAGAAGGGAGGCCAAGAGGCACACGAAAACATGTTCAAAGTCACTAATTAACCGAGAGATGCAAATCAAAACAACAATGCAGTACCATCTCACACCTGTCAGAATGGCCAACATCAACAAATCAACAAACGACAAGTGTTGGCGAGGTTGCGGAGAAAACTGCTGGTGGGAATACAGACTGGTGCAACCACTGTGGAGAACAGTGTGGAGTTTCCTCAAAAAACTGAAAATGGAACTCCCATTTGATCCAGTAATCCCACTCCTAGGATTATATCCCAAGAAACTAGAAACACCAATCAGAAAGGATATATATACCCCTATGTTCATAGCAGCACAACCTGCTAGGATTTGGAAACAGCCTAGATGCCCATCAACAGATGATTGGATAAAAAAAACAATGGTACATCTACACAATGGAATACTATGCTGCCATAAAAAAGAAGGAATTCTCATCATTTGCAGCAACCTGGATGGAATTGGAGAAAATCATGCTGAGTGAAATAAGCCAGTCAATGAAAGAGAAACACCACATGACCTCACTCATTTATGGATAATAAAGAACATTATAAACTGATGAACTAAAAGATAGATATAGAGACAGTAAAGCAACAAGCAGACTGTCAAATTACAGCAGGGAGGGGAGGGAGACCTGGGGGAGATAAGAGATAAACGAAAGGGCTTGTATACATGCATATAAGTACAACCAATGGACACAAAACTCTGGGAAGGGAGGGTATGTATGGGGGGAGGGAGAGCAATGGTAAAATATGTACACAGATAATAACTTATAAAAAAAATAAAAATAAAAATTTTTAAAGAAAAAAAATGACACTGGCTCTAGAGGGAAAATAATTCAGTTATTAGTAAAGAAGGTGACAATTATTCTTCAAAGCACCCAAAATGTCCAATTATTTGGATACAGATATTAGTAGTAATTTGCTGTCAGAAACATTAGAAGGAAAAACATCATATATGCTAAATATAAGGAAATAATCAACTTATAAACATTAAGAATTGCTTTCATTTTAATTCGTGTATATTTTTTATTTTATGAGGACAGTATCTGAATTACTTTGTTGTTAATAAATATGTGTTGGGAATACACATTAAAAATAAATAAATAAAATAAAATATGGCTTTCACCACAGCCTACAATTACTGTATAAGAGCCTTGCTTACCCATAGAGAACATGGAAATAACCCGAGGCCCCTCCTAAGAGAATTACATTAAGTTCCAGACCTGGTTCCCGAGCGCCTGATGCCTTAACTTAAACAAATTAAATGGCTTCCACTCCCTATTTTCTTTTCTTTTTAAAAAATATATTTTATTGTTTTTCTTACAGAGAGGAAGTGAGAGGGATAGAGAGTTAGAAACATCGAGGAGAGAGAAACATCCATCAGCTGCCTCCTAGAGAGTTAGAAACATCGAGGAGAGAGAAACATCCATCAGCTGCCTCCTACACATCCTCTACTGGGGATGTGCCCACAATCCATGCCCTTGACCGGAATCAAACCTGGGACCCTTCAGACTGTAGGCCGACGCTCTATCCACTGAGCCAAAACAGTTAGGGCAATATTTTCTTCTCCTTCTCTCCCTCTCTCTCTCTCTCTCTCTCTCTCTCTCTCTCTCTCTCTCTCTCTCTCTAACACACAGATACTTTATTACTTTCCTTTACAAGAGCTAGTAACATCATCAATCTTTTTAACAGAAACCTCAGGTCATTTGAGAGGCCATACAGATCCAAGGAAATAAGATGAAAATTAAATACTTAAGGAGAAACAATTGTAATAATCTGAGCCATAAAGATTTATTTAATTAAAAAAAGAGAAAATTAAATACTTAATAAAAAAGTAGTATAAAACCACCTAGAACCTTCTACCACAGTGACAGTGGGCTAAGATTAAGCTACAGCTAAATGATCTCATATAAATGTTAAAGAATACACAGGAAAAAGTGAGATTTGCTTTCCAGAAGACTGGTACAATGATTATTTGGGCCGAAAAAGGTGTTTAACCAGGAAAAGGTCAAGATGGTTGAAGGTCAAACCAAGTGCAGAAGGAACAGGTACAAAAGAGACTAAGAGACAGTCTCCTAGCAGAGGGTGAAGGATCAGGCTTTTTTCCTCCCAAGAAGCATCTGCTGCACTGTGTGCTGCCTTCCCTCAGGCCCTACCCCAGAGCTGCCTGCCTTACAGGAACCAGAGCTGGAGTCTGGGCTGCTTAGGGCTCTTATTTAGTACAGACCTCGGGGAACTTGTCACATGTTAAGGAGGGTTGAGAGTTAGTTTGGCTTTGTTCTTTTTGTTGTTGTTTTTGGGGTGTTTTGGATCTGTTGCTAGTAGTTCTGAACCTAGGGATCCCAGAAGCATTCACATAAAAAGCAGTCAGAGCTCCCCCAAACACATTCAAACACCCCCACACAACACCCTTCGAAGTCTGAAGTCTTGCAGAAGCCGAGTTATAAAGCTGCAAGGCCCACAAAATCAAAGAAGCCAGAACGAGACAATGTAGGTAGGAAATTTAAGTAATCTCAATCTGTTTTTCCCTAGTTTTGGAGAAAAGTTAATATACCTGGAATGGGATGTAGAAAGCTACTGGAGCAAGCTGGGGCTTCTGCTGAATTTTCCATCAAACACCAAGGGAAAACAAGGGAAGGGGTTCACTTTATTTTTTAAAAGCCTCAGAAGTTATTCTATTGTATTATAAAGGGACATGGCTGAAGAGGTAGGAAACAGATTCCCCATTGTGAGTTCTCCTGATGGCTTCTGCAAGAATCATGGAGATGTCGATCACCTGTATTTTAGAGCAATGCTTCATCTTATCCTCCTGAGGGATGGTATTGGTGACCACCACTGCTTCAAAGCATGCATTGTTAATGCGGGAAATGGCAGGGCCAGAAAAGATCCCGTGAGTCAGGATAGCATAAACTCTGGTGGCTCCAGCTGCAAGAAGTTTGTCGGCTGCATGGCAGATCGTGCCACAAGTGTCAGCCATGTCATCCACCAGAATGGCCACCCGGTCCTTCACGTCTCCTACCAGCACCATGCGGTCCACTTCGTTGGCCTTCTTCCGTTCTTTGTGAATCAAGGCAAAGTCAACATTCAAACGGTCTGCAATGGAGGTAACTCTCTTAGCTCCCCCCGCATCGGGTGAGACAATAGTGCAGTTTCTCCACTCAGGTATATTCTCCCTTATCCACTTCAGGACAGCTGGTTCTGCGTACAAATTGTCCACAGGGATATCAAAAAAGCCCTGAATTTGAGAAGCATGAAGGTCCATGGTAATAATATGATCTGCACCTGCAACGGAGAGCATATTCGCAACCAGCTTGGCTGAGATGGGAGCCCGGCTCTTATCCTTCTTGTCCTGCCGGGCGTACGGGAAGCACGGGATGACTGCGGTGACCCGGCTGGCGGAGGCAATCTTACAGGCGTTCATCATGATCAGAAGCTCCATTAGGTTGTCATTAACCGCACCGCAGCCACTCTGGACGATGTAGACGTCCTCTCCGCGGACGCTTTCGCCGATTTCAACACAGGTCTCCTGGTTGCTGAATTTCTTACTCACCACCTTGCCTAGCTCCAGGCCCAGGCGGTCGGCAATTTTCTGGGACAAGTCCTGGTGGGAGCTGCCGCTGAAGATTTTGATATTCGGCATCTTGGCCAACTACCCCGGGCGCTCTTTGCTCAGCGATCTCTGCGGCTCCAGGTCCGGAACCAGAGCAGCCAAAGCTTCCGGCTACGCCGCCATCTTACGCTCCCGCCGGGCGCGCCGCTCCCCGTCTTCTCCCGCTCGGAGCGCTCCCGCGAAGGGGGAGGGGGTGCCCGCCGCCAGCCGGAGGGCTTCCGGGGAGGTGCCGGCTTGCAGCCCGGCGGCGGCTCCCGGCGGGCGACCCGCCCCGCCCCGTCCGAGGAGGCCCCGCCCCGCGTCACGTGACCGCCGCGCCCTCTGACCCCGAGCCACCGGAAGGAGAAAGTCCCGGCGGGTTGCCCGGCGCGATGGTGAGGAAAAGGGGAGCGGCCGGCGGTGCTGGCGGGCAGGGCAGGGTCCCCCAGGGTTCGCCGCTGCCCCTTCGGAAGGGTGAGGCGCGGCCAGAGGGGGCCGGGCGGCCGCGCTGGCTCCGCGGCAAACCCGTGGGCGCAGTGGTGCCGGCGAAGAGTTGAGAGAAAAGCTCCCGCCGCCGACTCCACCGCCCGGCGGGCAGGACAGGCTAGCGGGGGGGAGGCCCGGGCGCTTCCTGGACGAAAAGGAAGGCAAGCCTGAGGGGAGGGGCTGCTGCGGAGAGGCAGGCCTTCCAGGCCTTTCCGGGCTCCAGCAGGGCCTCCCAAAGTTGCCCGCTTCACCCAACTGTCCAAGGACTTTGCGCAGAGCTTACTTAGAATTAGGCTCAGTCTAGCTCTAGCCGGTTTGGCCCAGTGGACAGAGCGTGTGGGCCTGGATCAGTTTCGATTCTGGCCAAGGTACCTGGGTTGTAGGCTCCACCGGCCTTGGTCTAGGCAGGCGACCAGGGATGTGTCCCTCGCACATCCATGTTTCTCTCTCTCCCCTTCTCCTCTTTCCTCTTTTCCCTCCTCTTCCTCTCTCCTCTCCCCTCCCCCCTCCCCTTCCCCCTTTTCCTCCTCCTTCCTCCCTCCATTCTCTCTAAAAATCGATGAAAAATATCTTAGGTGAGGATTAACCACGACAAAAGAAATTAGGCTCAGTCAAATTCTTAATTCTTCCTCTCTCACCCTCCCAGAGCCCGGTAGGAGTTTGGGTTGGGATTTCCCAACCCATCCCTTCATTCCTTCAACAGATGTTGAGTGCTTACTCTATCCCAGGCTCTGTGCTGCTCACTGAGACTTCAGCTGCAGAAAGGAAGGGCAAAATTAGAAGCTTCATTTGGCAGTCATAGTTAAGACCTGAGGGGAAGAGACCTTTACTGTACTTTGAATATAGTGATGGGAAAGAGTCTGCGGGCCTGGAGGAAGGGAAGAAAGCTGGCTCCTTGCAGTGCAGTTTGTGTACCGGGGCTTAGGAGTCATGGGGTGAGGCCTGTATCTTCAGACAGGGACCAGCACATTCACTGACCTCAGGGGGTAGAGAGCTTGGCTCCCTAGAAATGAATGCATTACCCCAACTGGGGTATAGACCGAAGGTTAGTGAAAGATGAGACTGGACAGGCAAGCAAAGGCCAACGCTTGCTGGGTTTTAAGAGCCACGTTTGGACTTTAAGAAGAAGGCACTGGCAAGTTAGGAAGATCCTTTTGGTCACTTTGTGGAGGGAGCAGAGAGCCCAGGCTGGAGCAGCAAGACCCTCAGGAGATGGTGGTGAATTAGGGTGGAAAGTGGAGATAGAAGCGGCGGGGGAGTTAGCAGGGCTCTGGGATTAAGTGTGTGAGGAAAAATGAGAGGGAGGTGTTGGGGATTGGTTCCCAGGTGGTTGTGCTCAGTGGAGTGGGAAACTCAGTAGGGGAAGCAGGTTTCAGTGGGAAAAGCATTAGAGTGTGGGGTTTGTTTCCATCTCGGTAGAGACGTGGACATGTATATTGCTATGGATTAGAACTTTGCCAGGCGGGCCAAAACCGGTTTGGCCCAGTGGATAGACCGTCGGCCTGTGGACTGAAGGGTCCCAGGTTCGATTCCAGTCAAGGGCATGTACCTTGGTTGCAGGCACATCTCCAGTGGGGGGGTGTGGGAGGCAGCTGATTGATGTTTCTCTTGCCGAAACCGGTTTGACTTAGTGGATAGAGCGGTGACCTGTAGACTGAAGGGTCCCGGGTTCGATTCCGGTCAAAGGCTTGTACCTTAGTTGCAAGTACATCCCCAGTAGGGGATGTGCAAGAGGCAGCTGATCGATGACTCTCATTGATGTTTCTAACTCTCCCTCTCAGTAAAAAATAATTTAAAAAAAGAAAGAAAAAAAAAAAAAAAGAAAAAGAACTTTGCCAGGCAATAAGGACAGCTGATCAGGGAAATAGAGGATACTGGCAAAACATGATTGACAGGGTGGGTTTGCATTCTAACATAGGAGTGGATAAATAACAAAATGTGATATATGCTGTGGTGATCAAGCAAGAAGTATAAGGAGCTAGAGCATGATAGAAAAGAGTGATTTTTATTTTTTAACAGCTTTATTGAGAACAGCACGTGTAAATATACAGTTCAGTATTTTTTGACATTATGGCTCATGAAAATGTTTTCAGGATCAAGCTAATGAACACATCCACTGGCCCCTGAAATTTCCTGTTTTAGAAAGTATGTTCAGAAAAGGGCCATCAGAAGAGGTGTCATATGAGCAGAGATCTGAATGAAATGAGAGCGCAAGCAGACCATAAGGACAATGGTGGGAGTGCCTGGTGTAACAGGAACAGGAGGGAGACATTGTGGCTGGAGCCAGGGAGGAAAAGGAAGTGAGAGAGGTCACTGCTGTGAGGCCAGGGACTTTATTTTGTTCTGTGGGATCTACCACAGAGGAGGCACCCAGTCAATGTTTGTTGGACAGATGAATGCCTGGAATAGGCATCAGAACAAAGTTTGTGGCAGGGTGGGTCAGGGAGGGGCTCTCTCACAGCCTGATAATCGGGGAGATCCAGTGGCTCCCTGAAGAACAGTAGTGTGAAAGACACCTGGCCACACCTCACTCCCTCCAGCCTGACCACTTGTCTTACTCCCTTGCAGAGGTTCCGGTTCTGTGGTGATCTGGACTGTCCTGACTGGGTCCTGGCGGAGATCAGCACACTTGCCAAGATTGTTGAGTGCATAGGGTCATCTTGGGGGCTGGAGTGACAGGGATTGGGGATGGGACCCTGGGAGTTAAGGTTGTGGGCCTCAGTGCTCTCAGCCCATCCTAGCATGCTGTGTGCCTGCTCACATGAATGACCTAGTGAGCAGCCCCAGCATGGAGGGATGAGGGCCATCGGGCTGATGTTGGGCCTTCCCTCCAGTCCTCCGTGAAGCTGAGGCTGCTGTGCGGTCAGGTGCTGCAGGAGCTTCTGGGGCTGGGAATGGATGTGAGTGCCTGGTCCAGCCCTTGTCCCACAACCCTGAGGGTGCACAAACCCAGGGAGGTGGGTGATCAGCCTCCTGCCCATCCTTAACAAGATCCAGGCGGCTGGGGGTAAGGGGTGGCAAGCAGGGGTCTTGGCACCCTTACAGGCCGCCTTTCCCCACAGTACGAGAAGGTCCAGAAACTCACTGCTGATGCCAGGTTTGGTGAGTACCCCACTGAGTCCACGGGCTTCGGGCAACTCTGGCTACTCAGCCTGGTGCCTGGTGCAGAGACCCCTTTTCCCAGCAGTTCCCTCTGACCCAGCTGCCTCAGCAGAGGAACCTGAGGAGAAGCCATTGGCAGTCTACCCCAATGTCCTCTGCCGGCAGTAGTAAAGCTCATGGCTCAAGGAGGCCTGGGGGCTCTGAGCTGAAGATAGTGGGGCAACAAGGAGGTAGCTGGGGCTATAGTGACACCTCCTACCTCCCATGGGTCTCCCCAGAGCTGGGCGATGTGAAAGCCACTGTGGCAGTACTGAGTTTCATCCTCTCCAGTGCTGCCAAGCACAGCGTGGATGGCGAGTCCTTGTCCAGTGAATTGCAGCAGCTGGGGTTGCCTAAAGGTATGAGGACCTGGGCAGGCCAAGGGCTGCCATGAGATGCACCCTGCCCTTCCTGGGCCAGGAGCCCAATACTGCCCTCTGAGCAGCCCTAGCAGCCACCTCCATTCTGCCCTAGAGCACGCAGCCAGCCTATGTCGCTGTTACGAAGAGAAGCAAAGCCCCCTGCAGGAGTACTTGCGGGCCTGCAGCCTGCGTGGTAAGTGTGGAGTCACCCATGCTATATGTACCTTCTATTCTAGAAGGTACATATAGCATGGGATGTGCTTGTTCTCAGAAGATTTACTCATGGTCACATGTCACAATCACAGAGCCAGGACTTCTGACTCTAGCCAGGTTTCTTTCTTCTGAGATCTGTGGATAATCGAGCTCCCAGTTATGAGCACATGCTGTGGATCAGAGGTCAAAGAAATAAGAGCTTCCCAAAAGCCATACAACCGGAAGGGTTGTAGGCTGAGCCAGGGGCTAGGCTGAGGGCTGCATGGCTCACCTGCCATGAGTCTGAGAGCCCCATCCTGTCTCTCAGTAAATAGGCTGGCAGGCACGGGCTGGCGGGTAGACTACATCATGAGCTCCAGCCTGCTACAGCCTGTGGAAGAGCCAGTGGTACACCTGCGGCTGGAGGTGGCAACTGCCCCGGAGGCCCCTGCCCAGCCTGTTGCCCTATCCCTCTCGGCAGACAAATTCCAGGTCCTCCTGGCAGGTAAGAAGGCTCAGCTGTACCTGGAGAGGTCAGGGGCCCTCTCAGATCCCACCTGACAGCTGCCTAACTGCATCCCTCTTCCCTGGCAGAACTGAAGCAGGCCCAGGCCCTGATGAGCTCCCTGGGCTGAGGAGAGTGTTGGTGGAAGTTGCTGCCCTTCGAACTTCTCTTCAGGACCCTGGAAGCCTGGCCTCCTGGATCTCTGGCTTTCTAGGTTCCTACTTGAAAATTCAGCACAGCAATCCAGAGAACTTTTCCAAAATTGTCTTCTCTCCCCCAGAAAGATACTCGATGGCTTTTCCAAACAGGAAGAATAAACAGAAGTGTAAAGGAATGTGTGCATAGGTTTTGTAGGTTCGGAACAAAGGTTTTTGTGAGACCAAGTGATTGGCAAACCCCTCTTTTCAACTGCTGAGTGAGGCAGATGGAGGACCAAAACGGGACCAAAATCTGTAGATGGGAGAAACGGGGGTTCTAGTTCCCAGAGCATCTAGTTCCTATGATGCTCTTGGCTCCACCCTCTCTGTGTTGTCTGGTCCGTAGGCTGGCAGCAAGTGGTGGCCCCTGTGCCAGATGCTCAAGTAGAGAAAGTAGAGAACTCTTGTCTAATTGCCATCTTATCTTCATTAGAAAGAGAGAAGGGCCCATGCCTGAACCACTCATTGGCAAGCGTGGTTATGGACCGAATTGCCCCCTCCCTCAATTCATATGTTGGAGCCCTAACTCCCAGTGAGATGGTTTTAGGAGGTGGGGTGTTTGGGAGGTAAAATGTCAAGACAGTGGGACCCTTATGATGTGCCCTGTTTAGTGCCCTTATGAGAAAAGAAAGAGACACTGCACAACCATGTGCCAAGGAAAGGCCTCATGAGAACACAGCAAGAAGACAACTGTCTCACCAGTCCTTGATCTTTGACTTCCAAAAATTATGGAACTAGAAATAGATTTCTGTTGTTGAAGCCACCCAATCTATGACATTTTATTATAGCAGCCTGAGCAGAGTAAACAAATGGCCTCCCAGGACTGGCTTAAACCAACCAGGGCTCCTGGTAGAAAAGACAGATTCCAGGTTTGGGGGAGGGAGAGTACAAAGTGAGCCTATAACATCTTGGGAAGTAAAGAATAATGAGTCATGTCAAAGAGCCAGCTATCCAGACTGTATAGTTTAAGCATCCAAAGGATATGAACTGACTCTCTTCCTGACTTGTGCTTCTGGAATAATGGAGTAGATGTGCTTTTCCTGATTCCTCCACTAAGAACAACTAAAATCTTTGGGTATCCTGTCTATTAAAAAATGAATATGCTAATTGACCACCACACCCTCACAAAGATGTTGCCTACTGGAGATATGCCTACAACCAAGGTACATGCTCTTGACCGGAATCGAACCCGGGACCTTTTAGTCCCCAAGCCGACGCTCTATCCATTGAGCCAAACTGGTTTCGGCGTAAAGAAGGAATCTTGAGAAAAGTAAAAATATAAATACAGTAGACTTCTATGTTATCACAGAATTCCACAGACACTTCTCATTGCATTAGTAAATATTAATTAGTAACAATGTGTTGTAACTTTTTATTGACTCACTCTTTTACTGGCCCAAGTTTTTTTTTTTTGTTTGTTTGTTTTTTTAATAGCTTCTTTTATTTTAATTTTTTAATTTTAATTTTTTATTTTTATTGATTTTGTACAGAGAGGAAGGGAGAGAGAGAGAGAGTTAGAAACATCGATGAGAAAGAATCATCGATCAGCTGCCTCTTGCACACCCCCTACTGGGGATATGCCCACAACCATAGTACATGCCCTGACTGGAATCGAACCCGGACCCTTCAGTTCCCAAGCTGACGCTCTATCCATTGAGCCAAACTGGTCTCGGCTGTTTGTTTTTTAATATATTGATTTTTTTACAGAGAGGAAGGGAGAAGGATATAGAGTTAGAAACATCGAAGAGAGAAAAACATCAGCTGCCTCCTGCATACACCCCACTGGGTATGTGCCCACAACCAAGGTACATGCCCTTGACTGGAATCGAACCAGGGACCCTTGAGTCCGCAGGCCAACACTTTATCCACTGAGCCAAACCAGTTAGGGCCCAGCCTGAGTTTCTTAAGGATGAGAATTGTGTTCCATATTTGAATAGCCTCAATGCCTAATAAAATACTCTTTCAATAATGGGGGTGGATTGGGGTAGGGAGAGAGATGAACTGCAATGGATTTAAATATGTTGACTGTAGAGATTTCTTCGCAAGGGTACTTGACTCCAAGTCCCAAAAACCGGCCACTGCAGTTGCTGCAGTGCAGTCCTCAGCTTCGCGATGTTTCCTTGGCCAAAAACGCGCTAAGCCGTCTCCCAGTTCAAAGCATTCAGCAAACAATGTCAAGGCAGATTCACCAGAAGAGGACACCTGATTTCCATGACAAATATGGCAATGCTATTTTAGCTAGTGGAGCCACCTTTTGTGTTGCTACATGGACCTATACAGCAACACAAATTGGAATAGAATGGAACCTGTACCCTGTTGGCAGTCACCCCAAAGGAATGGAGAGATTAGTAATTAGTTGGTGTGATAATTATTTCAAAACCAACTCATAATTGATGGCAAGTGAAAGCAATGTATGCCTATTAAAATACGGCATGGATGGAGAAAATACATTTGAAACCTTAAAAAAATAAAAACGTTGACTGTAAAATATTAAAATCTGAGTCCATTAAAAGTCCCCGCACCCCCCAAAGGAAAAAAACACCACACCCTCAATCCTAATTTGTCACCATTGGATGTTGTTATTGCACCAAATTCTTAGTCTGAAAATTGATCATTAAAGGAAAGGAATTTAAAATTTATCCTGTCTTTTTCGTATTTCAGGATAACTATATAGCCCTAGTCAATGAGGTAAAGCTCTTTTTTACAAAAAAAATTCCAACAATCACCTCAAATAACCCAATGCTCCTCAGCTGGTAAGCAGATAAACACATTGGTATGTCTACATAGAATACTGCTCAGCATTAAAAAGGAATGAACTAAGTATAACAATCTGGGTGAATCTCATGCATTATGCTAAGAGAAAGAAACCAGACTCAAAGTATGTCAACTGTAATTGAAAATAATATTTTTAAATATATATTTTATTGATTTTTTTACAGAGGAAGGGAGAGGGATAGAGAGCCAGAAACATTGACCAGCTAATTGGAAACATTTCCCTTCCCAACACCTAACATGATGACTTGAGCTATAGTCGTCATTGGTAATCTTTGTCTCCGGATACTAAGATCAACTTAAAAAACAAAACAAAAAAGATAATCCTTGGTTGGACTCTGCCTTGAACAAATAACTATAAAAGACATTTTGGGAACAATTAGAGAAATTTGAATATGGACTAGGTGTTAGATTATGTTCAGAAGTTACTGTTAATTTTATTAGGGATGATAAAGACAGATTTTCAGTGTGCCGAGGCATGCTGATGTGCTGCAAGAATTTTTAAAACATGCAACTCCAGCCCTAGCCAGTTTTGCTGAGTGGGTAGAGCATCAGCCTGCAAACTCAAGGATCCCAGGTTCGATCCCCATCAAAGGCACATGCCTAGGTTTTGGGCTTGCTCCCTCAGTATGAGGCCTGCAGGAGGCAGCTGATCAACGATTCTCATCATTAATGTTTCTTTCTCTCCCTCTCTGAATTCAATAAAAATATATTTCAAAACAACACCAAACCAAACCATGCAATTCCTGCTATTTAGTCAGGGAACTGACAGTTTTTCCTTTAGATTGTTAAATTAAAACATGACAACAGCCGAAACCGGTTTGGCTCAGTGGATAGAGCGTCGGCCTGCGGACTGAAGGGTCCCAGGTTCGATTCTGGTCAAGGGCATGTACTTTGGTTGCGGGCACATCCCCAGTGGGGGGTGTGCAGGAGGCAGCTGATCAATGTTTCTCTCATCGATGTTTCTAACTCTCTATCCCTCTCCCTTTCTCTCTGTAAAAAAAAACCAAAATATATGAAATAAAAAAAAACATGACAACAGCCAATGCAACAATAACCGTCCAGTGTCTATTAATAAAATTATACATATTTTTTTGGCAGATTGGAAAAATATTTTTTGGTGTGACACAGAATTTTCGTAGTTAATGTGTGCCATGAGATGAAAAAAGTTAATAATCACTGGATAAATGTAGTGTGGCTTTGTAAGAAATGGCTTTTTAGAGATGCATGTTGAAATATTAGGGATGAAATGTCATAATTTGTCTAATTTACTTTAAAATACTCCCAAAATAAATGAATTAATAGATGGCGGAGAGAAGAGGCACGTCCTAGTATGAAGGGTGCAGACCGTGACTATTGGTCAGGCACACTTAGGAAGAAATCCGAACTCCTTACCGAGGCCTCCTGAGACCGGACCTGACCTTGCTGTATCTGTCCTCACCTGCTAGCTTCTCCGTTACACTTCAGCCACACAGGCCTTCTTTCAATGAGCGAATTGCTTTCCTTCCTGCAGGCCTTTGCACTGCCCATCCCTTCATCTGGCAGGTTGTCTTTTATATATAATGGCCCTGGGGAACTGGGCCCATGCCTCTGAGAAGCTACTTCCAAAACTCTGTGGCCAGGGGCCAAAGAAGTCCTCACATCTCTAGTAAAGGGGACTGCATTCCAGGAGGGTCCCCTTAGGGGGGCCAGGGAGAAGCCTCATGCCTGGAGGGGTGTCCCTCAGCCCATAGGTGGGGAAGGACCCCATGGCCAGGTCTGTACTGGGTTAGGGCCCCATACAATACTGGCAGTTGGGATGGCCCCACGGACTGGCCTGACATGTCCCGCAGGGACCTGGGCATGGGAACACCAGCAGCCCTATTAATCCCCGGGCCCCAATACTTTAGCAAGTGCACTAGGGCAATGCCAGTATCTTTGGGAGGAAGTCTCTCTACCGTCATTGAGACCAAGTTCTCCCTTTGAAGCAGCTCCAGAACGAGGACTCACTTCTCTTTCTGCTTGACTTACTGAATTCATCTCAATCATATTGGATCAAATTCATATGCTTGTCGAAAACCTTGAAGGTGCCAATAAAGGTAGTACCACTTTGTAGGGTGCACCTCTTCCTGTAATCAATGTGGCGCATGCAGCATCTTGCTGCTCTTTGCCCACAGCCATGTTGGTGGCTCCGACTCCCCTAGCACGTGCCATCCCTCTTTGCTGAGGTCTCAGCCTGTCACTGCAGAGGCCCTACCCCCACAGAACCATCTGTCGTGGGTTCTGCTTTCTTGCCTGTTTTTTGTTGCTTGGCTGCATTTCTCACCCACAGGCGGTAATGATTCTGTTTATAAATTATGTGTGACTGTGCGTTGATACTTAGTTTGGCACTGGGTCCCCAGGGCCTGCGTCTGTCGCGCACCTGCGTGCTCCCTGCGCACATCTGGCAGGAGCCTCTGCTTTGGGCCAGGGATGCAGCTTCAGGCCGGGAGTGCTGGCCTGTCACTAGCCTGGTGACTTCTCCAGCCATAGGCAGCTGCGACGCAGGACCTCAGACCTGATCCCGGATCCGGCAGGCGCCATCCCCCCAGCCAGGTGACTGCCCCAAAGCCTTTCCTACACCTCGACCTCCAGCTCTGGGAGCTCAGCCCAGCCTGAAGGCCTGGCCCCTGCCTTTCCCAGCGGGCGCTGGAGCAGCCACCAGTCGGTGTGCTCTCCAGTACGGCTCCGCCCCTCGACTGCAACCCGCTAAAGGCTGCAGGTTGGCGGAGAGGGGCGGGGGGCGCAGGTAACCTCGGCGGGAGACGGCTTGGGGGGTTGGGGGAGCTGAGTGTACCGCAGACTGAAGAGAGGAAGGGATTTGGCGGCTTTGGGGAGGAAGGGAGCCAGGGTGTACCGAGGATAGACAGCGGGAGTGAGTGGTGAGGGTGGGGGAGTGGGCATACAGTGCCCTCCTTCAGCGGGATTAGGAATCTGGACCTTCACCTTCATCTTTTCCAGCACCGCGAACCCTCTCGGGTACCAGACCCCAGACTGCGTGAAGGCGTGGGAGGGGACAGGAATCTGCCCTGACTCAAGGCCTCCTCTGCCCGACCACATCTGTGTCTAAGTGGGGGTGGGGAGGGCAAGCGGCAAGCTCCCCTTATCAGCCAGGTGGCCGAGGGTGGGGAGAGGAGGCGGGGAAGGTTCCCCTGGGCCCGAATGCGGAGCAGGATGGGTCCAGTTTTAGAATGACCTTTGGCCTGCAGCTCTGGGAGAACTTCCAGGCACAGACGCGGAGACACCTGCACCCCCTCCTCCCGTCCTGACTCGCCCTCACTGCCAGCTGAGCCTCTCTGAACGTGAGTTTTCCCAGTTCCCAATTCCCAGGTGCAGCCATGCTCATTCCCTCAGGGACTTTGGCCACAGATGAGGTCGGTTCTGAGCGGTTGGGCGAACAAACTGAGCTTTCACTGGAGAAAAAGTGGAGGTAGAGGCAGACAATGTCAGATTTGGGAGTGCCATGAAGAAAAGAAAACGTGTCTGGTGGGGTGTGGGGTTAAGAGGCTATTTTGGAAGGGAGATCGGGGAGGGTGGCTCAAGTGTCCCGAGATGAAGGGACAGCAGGGGAAAAGGAGTGGGGGTGGAAAGAGCAATGTGCTTGGAGCAAGTGAGCGAGGGGGAGCCTGGGGAGAAATGAAATGACAACATGGGCCCAGGAAGGATCTGGATTTCACTCTAAAAGCAGTGAGGGTTCATGGGAGTTAACAAAGGCAGTCATCTCTCTCAGCCAGAACTTACAGTGCCCTGGGCTTTCCCAGCGTTTTCAGTTGGGGCCAAGGGCTGCGGCCAGGCCGGAATTTTCTGCCAAACCCAGCTGTCCATGATCCCCTCTGATTCGCAGAGCCCTCCTTTGTAAATCGGGGTTGGTGAATCCTACCTCACAAGGTGCTCCCGTTCTAACTTGCAGCCATCCTTCCCCACAAAATGCCCGAGGGCCCTGAGCTGCATCTGGCCAGCCAGTTTGTGAACAAGGCATGCAGAGGGCTGGTGTTCGGTGGGCGTGTGGAGAAGTCACCCATCAGCCGCAACCCCGAGGTGCCCTTTGAGAGCAGTGCCTACCACATCTCAGCCTCAGCCCGAGGCAAGGAGCTTCGGTTGACACTGAGCCCCCTGCCTGGGGCCCAGCCCCCACAGGAGCCACTGTCCCTCATCTTCCACTTTGGCATGTCTGGATCCTTCCAGCTGGCACCTAGCAATGCACTACCACCCCATGCCCATCTGCGCTTTTACACGGCTCCTCCTGGTCCCCAACTCACCCTCTGCTTCGTGGACATCCGCCGCTTTGGCCACTGGGACCTCAGCGGCGAGTGGCAAGCGGGCCGTGGGCCATGCGTCTTGCTGGAGTATGAACAGTTCAGGTAGGTGAGGGGCAGGTCCCTTCCTCTGGAGACCAACACAGTGTATTTCCCTGGGGACAGCTCCCTGAGCTAAAGATGTGAAAACCCAAAACTGATATGGGAGGAGGTAGGGGTGAGGTGAATACGTAGGCATGCCCTGAAGACACAGACAGTTACTGTGAGGCTGAGGCTGGATCAGTGCCCCACCGTGCTTCGTGGTGCCCTCAGGAGGCCCTTGGAAAGGTAGAGGATTTTAACATCAAAGAAGGGAGGCTGAACGGGAAGGAAGGGTTTCAAGGTGGTGGGGAGGGAACTGCCTAATGACATGGTTTCTGAGTCAGGTTTTGTGGTCTCCCACATTGTCTGCCCACTGGTCTGTGTCCCATGCTCTCACTGACTGTCTTCTGCCTGAGAAGCGGTAATAGCCCTACCTGGGATGTGCTGCAGGTCACTTAAGATGGCAGTGTCAGCCAACTTCTCTTCCTCTAAAGAGGCAAATGGGTATGAGTCTGTTTTGTGCCAGGCCCTGCAATAGGTGTTAGGGGTACAGCAGAGATCAAGGGCTGAAGTTCAGGCAGGGCAGGGAGGACAAGGAAACAAACTAGATTAATTCATATAGACACATTTCTAAAAAAAAAAAAAAAAAAAAAAAAAAAATCCAAATCTAAGAGGGAGAGAATGACTTCTGGCCAGGAAGCAGGGAGGGGGGAAGGCACATTAGCAAAGATCACATTCTAGGCGGTGACATTTGAGCTGAGACTTGCTTGAGAGCCAGCCATGCAAAGCTCCATAGCAGTGGTTCCCAATGTGGGGCACACAACCCACAGGGAAGCAACCTGATTTTTAAGGGGGGCAACTTGAGAATGAGTTATTAACAGGGAATCTTTGGCATTTCTTTCTTTTTTTAAAAAAATATATTTTATTGATTTTTTACAGAGAGGAAGAGAGAGGGATAGAGAGTTAGAAACATCGATGAGAGAAAATCATCGACCAGCTGCCTCTTGCACACCCCCTACTGGGGATGTGCCCGCAACCAAGGTACATGTCCTTGACCGGAATCAAACCCGGGACTTTTCAGTCGGCAGACCAACGCTCTTCCACTGAACCAAACCTGTTTCGGCTCTTTGGCATTTCTTATGGTTCTAAGGGCCTCATATACAACATATAAATATATATT